GGGTCTGGTGGTGCACTTTCTATGCTCATTTTCTGCTTGGGGACTGTGGTGGAAGGACCTACTGCACTGCTTTCTTCTGAACTTTTACTCTGTTCCTGTTTCTTTCTTTTCCTACGTTGTAATACTGCTCTTACGTAGAGTACCATCCCGCCTCCTTGACAGTGTAAACCGAAACAAAAAAATACCCCCACGAAATCAAATGAGCAGCACCTCCTGACCAAATTAAAAACATGCCCATTGAGCAGGGAGCCTGCTGGCATTCTAACTTCTGCAAATCTATTTTTGAGATGTGAAAAACTTAAATGCTAAGTCTTAGATGAGTGAGGAGCTACATAACTGATGTAAACACTTACATGGAATGCATTAGACTTCTGCTGTGTATTGTCTTTTGGTTGAAACAAATTATGAAGTGACTAATAAAATGAGTCAATATTCCATGATTTGAAACTGCGCCTCGTTGCTTTTTGCAAATACAATAGAACAGCCTTTATTCGTTCTTGTTTGGCAGTGCTAAAGTCGAGTGATATGAAATTATCTAGGGCAGAGTTTGAAAAGCTTTTGGGAAATTTTGGAGAGTAAAATGAGCAGACAGTTAAAACCCCTAAAAAGAGTCAGGTCAAATACCACCCTGAAGGAGAGCTTGTCAGCTGCTGCCAGCAGTACATGTCCAGGTGCTACACAGGTATGATGAGATCTGAACAGATGTTTTTCCCTGCTGGCTGCAGCAGTTGGTTATGGTTCCCTTGCTGTTCTAAAAACTCTCTTTTGTACTCGGTGTGCCACTGAGGCAAGGATTGTTACAATCTCATCCATTAAAGCAATATAGTTGCCTGCTATAAGTTTCTTGTGTTTTCTAGTCGCAGGAACCTTAGATACTGTGTGTTTTCCAATACAATTCCAATTTTCCCCTGCACAGTGCAGTGTGTGCTGGGAAATGGAACCTTAACGGTAAGCCTGACTGTCAGTCAGCTCCTTCTTAGATAGGAGAGCTCTCTGGTCCTCTCGAGAATTCAGAAGTGTGTCTGTGTGGCTGTAGGCAGAAGTTGTGGAGCAGGACAGACCACGGAGGCACCTCCCGGTGCTGTGCTGGATAGTGCTGAGCCCGTTACCCCTTCTTGACTGCGACCAACAGCAACGCGTTGAGATAAACCAGGAGGAAGGCGGGAGATTTCTGAAGGTAATGTGAAGTAGGATTAAGCTACGAAAGAATGCTGGCGGTGAGAATTTGGGAAGCAGCTCATTTAGAAATAAGGCCGGGAATCAGCACGTAAGAACTGCGCTGGGGCCGCGGGCCGCTGTGTGTGAAGTCCGTCCAGAACCGTCGCTGACTGCAGGCGCAGGCTTTGGTCGTTAAGGTGACCGAGGCTGCCGTTAAGGATCGCTGTCTCAGGCGCTCGAGAAGCGGCGCGGTGACGCTGCGCCCGGCGGGACGAAGCGCTGCTTGGAGCCGCCGCGTGCAGCTGCAGCCTCGGGCGGCTCCTGGTGAGGCGTTGCAGAGGCTGGAGAAAGCGTTCTGGGACAGGCGGCTTCGGGGGACGGAGGCGAGCGCTCTCCTTCCTCGGAGGTAAGTAACCCCGATTTGCACAGCCGCCTTGCAAGCGCTGCACCGATGGCGGCAGGTCGGTAAAGGCTCGGGCGGCCTTGTGCCCGCAGGCCGTGCCGCTGTCAGGACGACCCGCCGACCGCTCCCGGGGCGCCTCGGATTAACGCCGCGACTCCGCGCTGCCGCTGCGGCGCCGCCGCTGACGGAAGTTCCCGCGCTTCCGGGGCGGGGCGCGCGCGGAGCTGGGGCGGCAGCCGCCGCTCCCGAAGGTCTCGCGGTCCGGCCGGCCATGGGGGAGGCCGGTCCGGGGCCCAAGGAGGCGCCGGAACCCGAGGAGGATGAGGCGGCGGCGGCGGTCGGAGCGCGGGGCGGGCGGGCCGGGCCTCGCGGCGTCGTCCGGGTGCTGAAGGTGAGGAGGGGGCCGGGGCCGAGCGGGGCCGTTCCGCGCCGGCCCTTCCCGGCAGCTCGGCGCGGGGGCGGCCGCGGCGGTAACTGCGCGCCGCGTCTGGGCGATGCCCGCCTCGACCTTGGCCGGCTCCGCTCCGTGCCCCCCGGGCGCGGTGGCCCCGACTCGTTCGTCGCGAACGGCCCCGAGGAGGCGCCCGGCGGCGCGGAGCGGCGGTCTCGCCGTGCCCCCCCCCTCCCCTCCCCCGTGCCCGGCCGCTCCTGGGGCCTCGCACAGCCCGGCTGCGGGCGCCGCTGCCGAGACTGCCGCTGACTCCGCTTTTGGCCGTTTCGCAGAGGAACGCGAAGCGCAACGGGAGCAGGAGCTGTCTGAATAGAAGCCGGTTCGGTTCCCGTGAGAGGGACTGGCTGAGAGAGGACGTTGGACGAGGCTGCGTGTATGTTTATGGAGGAGATTCTGCTGCTGCGTTGTCTGACTTGCGCTTGGTCCTCTGTACGGCGGATACCCCAGCGTCTGAGATCTGTGATGGGGAAGAGAGGAAAAACCTCTTCGTGCAGCTTCACGGCGACCTGGTCAGGTGAGGGCTGAGGTTTGTGTTGAGCTGGATTTGCTTTAGTTGTGCAGCACTCTTCTGCATGCCTACATGCATTGGTGTGCAGAGCAGATAGAAGCAGGAGGTGCCAGCTGGATGCAGCCTCCAGTCACTTAGTGCATGAAAGTGAAGTGGTTCTGAGCCTTTTGTACTTAGTCGAGGCATAGCTGGGAGGGTTTGGTGGCTGCTCCAACCAGAAATACAGCCTTGTTTTCTAAGTAAAGGATATTATTCATGTACTTCTTCATTGCATT